ATGCATTGTGAGCTGTTAATTGTTAAACCCTGCAATTTTATTGTACAGTTTGAGCTTCAGTTGCGTGCAACTATTGAAAATATTGCCCGGCTTTAGATGTGCCTTTGGTTCAACACAACGAAAGGTCATTAGATGATTGAGATGACTGGAGGAACTGACTGCATCCTGAGGAGGTAACTAGGCTATTTGATTCAGGTGTGTTGGACCAAAGATGGATCTAAACGTTGCAGGATACCGGCCCTCAGGAACTGGTTTGCCCACCCCTGCTTTAATAGAAGCATGAAACAATAAACTAAAGCTAAATGCGTTGTTTAATTAACGAGGCTCGATTCTTAATCCGGGTTTAGTGACTGACCTTGGATCTGCCTGCATGAGTGAGCTCAGACTTTCAATTGAATAACAATACATTCAAACTTGTGGGCGTAGTCTGGCATTGCATAAAGTTTGAGTGGTTTGATTAACATAGCAGGCTTATTTGAAATTAAAAGGGGAGTTAGTTAACCCAAAGGAACTGTATAACAGAGCTGTTTATTTTTCCTGTCGCCTCCCTCACAGTGCTCATTCCTGCCCAAGTTCTCCATTCACATAGAGACGAAATATGAGGACAACAAAGGAAGCAACGACAATGTAAGTACAACAGGTGTTTCCCCAAGTCACCTGCTCCCTGCTCGTATTAGTTTGTTTTTTATTTTTGCATCAACAGTTTCACATTTCAGGAACAGGCTTCCTCTCCTGTTTTCCACTGCAGATGGCCTGAAGGCTGATAGGGCCCCGATAGTCTGGATGCTGCACAGACCATATTTGTCCATTTAGGCAAATTTGTGATGCTGTGTTTGGTCTCAAATTGACATAACCCCTTCAGTCATTAGTGATGGAAATGTGCTCCATTAATCTTTCCCTAGCAGCGTTCGGCATTTTACCAACTGGGATGTACACACATCAGCTAATGCATAATGCTTTTTAAAAAACAAACATCTGCAATATGTGAGACCCCTCTTTAGTGGTTCAAGATTCCTGTCCCCATCATCGCTGCCTGATAAAAACATAGCATTATGTGTGTGCTTCATTCCACCGTGGACTCCGGCTCCGCTGCATGTAGTGTCACCCTGCGGACCCAGTGAGTTAATTAACCGTGCTCCTGTTCGATTCTTTCATCTTAATGCAGCGTTTTTGCCTGGTCTCTGGTCTCTTCTTGGGGAAAAAAGGCGTAGAAGGAAATGAAATGAGGTGGCAGATAGAATAGAGGATGAAGAACCTCTGCAGTGCTGCAGGAGGGAAATTCTCCTGACTGAAGTGATGATTTACAGGCCGCCTTATTAAAACGCCCAGTACACATGAGCTTTGAGTCGGCCAGGTACTGCTCCACTTGTTGGATAGTTAATTTAATTTGGGCTGTTGGACCACTCACTCTACACACTCCGGTTCAGAGGGACATTAGTCATCAGGAGAGAGTGCCAGCGCCTGGACACTGAGGAATGAGCGGCTCCTGCGCAACAAACAAATAGCTTTAAGTGCGTTGCATCACGCCGGGTGCACAGAGGATTCATTTGAAATTCTCTCCATGAGTTATTTCAACAAGCTGGCGTTTGGGGTTGGATGTATCGAGTGTCCTATTGACATGTCCAAATGGTTTACATGTCCTCTTAAAGCCGGAGGGGAGCCAAACGGGGAAGGAGCTTTAAATCTGTCGAGATGGTTTTAGATTGACGTGTTTTTGCTTTGACGTGACAGAGTGATGGATCAAAGGCTGTTGAAATGAAATTCTAAAACCAGAAGCTGCCACGGGCAATTCAGTTTGCAGATAAAAAAACAGAGAGATGTGGAGATATGCGCTCGCATTGGATCCTCTGTTCAAGACGCTCTACATCTTTCTAGATGCGAGTAGAAATGCAGAAATCCATGTTTGCATTTAGACACTCATTAATTCAGTCACACTACCGGTAATAATACAGCAGCAGCGCTTTGATTGGGTTAGTGAAACATTTACTGTATAAACTAAAATTATTATGGTTCTGGATTCTTAAATTACCTATTTGTACTCATTTGTCTTTTATTTTGCTATTTTCCCACTTGGTTTGAGTTCTTGTTTAAAAGCAAAAACAAAAAACTGAAAGAAAATTTTGATCAGAGAAAGAACGAAGGCCAGTAGTGTTACATCTAAAGACCAAAAATGTTATTATGCATAAGAAGTGATTAAAGATGCCAAGATATTGTGATTTTAATGAAGAATATGCTTTAAACACACACAGGATTATAAAACATGGTAAAAAAACAACAAAAAACAAAGATGTTGGTTGCTGTTTGGGTGTTTTCAGATTAGCCATTTGATTCAGGTGTCTAATAGTTACAGGAGACTACTCTTCTAGGATTAGAGTTTGAAACCTCTGGTCTAAGGAATGGTTTAAGGGTGCCAGAGGGTTTTGTTAAAGACAGCAGCAGACTGTTGTTGCCATATCTATGCTCAGATCCTCCTCTCATTCCTATGGAGCACAGCTTACCAACCTGGGTTCTTGGATCTCCGAACCTATTGGGTATTACCTCAGACAGGGACCCAGTGAGATCCACCTGGCTGGGCGAAGAGAAGTCGTTGACCTGCTAAATGTCTTCTTCCCGAAGCCGAATAATTTTTCATCAAACGGGTCAGTTGTATTAACAGCCCGGATACAACCCTACCTGATCGAATCTCCGGTTCACGACAACCTTCTGTTCTCATACAACTGCACCTGGAAGTTGGTCAATAAATAATTTAGCAACTGAAAAGTTACAAGGATGTTGTTTTATTAAATTTTTGGCCAAAAGAAACCTAATAAGACCTTCAGTTCTTATTGTGTAACCCAACATCAGCTCTTCTTTACACCTTCGAAGAACCCGATATAAAACAAGACTCAAATATCCAATGTCCACTGAGGGAGAGGCTTTCCAAATGTACGTACTGTAGGTAGGGGAGCAGACAACTCATGTTACAGATGGTAGATGAAAGTCTCTGAGTCCTGAGCAAAAGCTGTGCAAAGAGGGCCTATAACTATTAGAATATTGCTTAAGCAAGTTGAATATTGATCAACAGAAGGAGACCGGCCGTCACAAAAACCATCGGGGAGGAAGAACAATCACTTTAAAGCCACATTTTTACCACTAAGAGAGCAGAGAGCGAGTTGCTGCCGAGGGTCACACGCCTTTCCCTCAGCAAGGTCCAGAGAAAGGGTCAGTGACCCAGGCAGAAAGAGAGCAATAAGATCCAGCTTGGTGGAAGTACGGAAATGGTTTGTCCACAAAACGCCACTAGATAAACTTTAATTTTATCACCTGGTGTAGCGTTTGTCATCGGACCTGAAATGCCCGTTGAGTCCAGGAGGCAGCTGATGTGTACGAGTCAGTATGATAAACAGGTCTTTAAAGCAGCTGTTTGTTTTTAGTGTGTTTCTAAGGGTCTACATGTGGAAATTCCTTACATTTGTTTTAGTTTATCCGACCTGATTTCAATGTGATCCATTTCTCAAAGCTAAGAAATAAAAACATTCATGTTTTTTATTGTATGATCAACCTCATTGCTTGTGGTCAGGAAACAATAGCAACAAAATAACAAGAAAAATGTACAATCTGGTGCTTAAAGAAGCCATTAATGTGTGAGATATTTTAACAGAGTGCAGTTTTTATTTACATTCATGTTTCCCTAAATCTCCCTTCAGCAGTTTCTTTTTTTTTTCCCTCTTTCTTGGGTCTTCTCTAGAATAAATCTTTAAGCAAATTACATCTGAAAAATCTTGCTGGATTTACTCATGTGTAGATCAATTATTCTGAGCCTTTCCCTTTAATCAGTAAGAGGTTTATTTACCCTTTTATGTTTATATAAACAGCCTGCAAAGTTTAATGTTTTTAATAGCTTTAGTTTTGTGTATTACGAGTATACTAAGCAGTAAATATACAATTACAAATACTAATAGGAAGAAAAGTAGAAGGTTTTCAGCATTTGCAGAATCAGATGACTGAACATATGACAGTAAATGAATTCAGCGATCTATTAGGTGCAATAAGCTACTTAAAAAGTGAGCTTTGAGCGCCTCCTAATGGCTGCACAGACCATATGCTTCTGTTGGGTCTTCTTTCCAAGACTCTAAAGTGATGTTGCACATTTCAGTGTGACATTAAGAATTTCTAGTCTAGTCTAAATAGAAAAAAAGACGTTAAATTTATCGTAACAAAGACCTCTGTTGATTTTCAGATCTTTGATACAGAGCTGAAGGACCAGGAGAGGGAGGTGTGCTTCGTCGACATCGCCTACGATGAAATCCCCGAGCGCTACTATAAAGAGTCTGAGGTGAGCCTGTGTAGGAGTGTGTGTAGATCCCCATGAGTATGAAGATGTTACACAATCAGTAGTGAAACCTTGTGATGAAACGCCTCTTTGTATGGATTACTTTTTCTGTTGTAAAGGTTAAATGAAAAGGTTCTTCTGTCTCTACTAGAATGGAAACCTTTTCTTAGTTTTAGGATGATCACTGATATGATCCTCTACTTTAGATATCCACTGCAGACACCCTCAAGTCTGATTAAGGATTAATTTTTAACTTATAATAAGTAGTTACACATTTCTTGGGAATAATGGCAGTTTAAACCGATTTCTTCTTATTCCTCTGCAGGACTTGCGATATTTCCAGTCAGAAAAGACAAAGCGGGGTGTACTGCAGGAAGGCTGGAGGGACACACAGGACCCCATCATGTGCTCCTACAAACTGGTCACAGTCAAGTTTGAAGTGTGGGGTCTGCAGACACGAGTGGAGCAGTTTGTACACAAGGTAAGGGGAGAAATGATGAAATCCATCTCCTTTGTCCTGTTTGTGCCCAAACTGATGAATTAATGAAGAAAACAAAATCACAAATTAAATAATAAAAATAAATAATGATAATAATAATAGTAATTTTTTTTGCACACGGCAACCGTTATCTGTTTTTAGTTGCAAAAGCCATGAGAGGAGGCCATTTTTGTGTCAGTAGGTAACTATAGATCAGAGACCACTAAAATCTCATGTGGTGTTCCCCAAGGATCAATCTTAGGGCCCCTTTTATTCAATATCTACAAGCTTCATTAAACTGGAATCTTAAAATAAAACAACATAAATAACCATAACTTTGCAGACGACACACAGCTGTACATTAAAATGTCACAATGTGACTTAACCCATTTAAGCTCTAGGTAAATGCACGGAATAATTCATGAATTTGACAAAATTTTCTTTAGTTAAAATAAGACAAAACTGAAGTAATGTTTTTTTTTTTTTTTAATTAAGGAAGAGTGTTCTAAATTTAACACACAGCTTCAGTTAATTCAGCTCGAAACAAACAATCAGGCTCTAAATCTGGGTGCATTGATGGATTCAGACCTGAACCTTCAGAGACTCATAAAGGCAGTAACAAAGTCATCCTTCTATCACCTAAAGAAAATCACAAGGATTAAAAGGACTAATGTTTCAGTAGGACCTTGAAAATCTAATATATTCATTGTTCGAAGAATTGATCAGATGCACATGATCCAGAATGCTGCTGCTAGCATCCTCACTAAAACTAAAAAAGTAGAGCATATCAGCCTAGTTCTAAAGTCCTTCCTCTGGCTCTGTGTATCTCAGAGTATAGACCTTTAAATGCTTCTGTCAGTCTATAAATCACTGAATGGCTTTGCTGCAAAATACATAACAGACTTGTTGTTAGTGGATCAAGTCATCTCTGCAATCCCAGAACCAAACGTGAAGAAGCAGCTGTAAAGAAAAGCTCTGTGTTTACACCTATAAGCTTTTTCTCCCCGATTCTTTCCTCAAAATAGATCACTCGGGACAAACTCTTTAAATAACCCTTCATAATGTATACGTCTTAAATAACCATGAGACATGACAACAGATTTCTGACGGAAATTTTAATCTTTGAATCACAGTTAAAGATGCATTTTACAACTCCGCTATCACACCCTGAAACATCCTCACATCATTCCATCATACACATTTATAAATGAGGAGACATCCATGGCTCCATCTATATCAAAACAACGCCTTGTTCTTAGATCAAATCAGTCTGAATGCCCCATGAGAGAAATATTGCTGTCAAACGTAATCCAGTGTCTGTATGCTTTCATTTCATTCCCAAACCTCTGTTCTCTGTGAGAATGATAACTATATATCCTGACAGAGGAGCTGTCCTAATTAGATAAACTGATTGGGAAGACATTAGTTTAGACACTTAACAGGCAGGTTGCTTTAAATTGCTTTAAATTAAGATTAAAAATGTATTGGTTTAAAGCAGGTTTTGACTGAGATCTTTACATTATTAGTTTAGTTTCCAGTCCAACTTTTGTTCTGATTTCTAAAAATTGTTTTCTCTTTCTTAAAAAAAAAAAAAGTTTTAATAATTGTCTAATTTTAATGACTCACTTTCATTCTCTGTAATTATGTTGTTTTACCTGTGTCACGCTGTATTTTTTCTCATGTACAGCACTTTTAATTGCCTTGGAATCATTCTCTGCTAAATTTTATTTGGCCTGTTATTTTTTACTTTTTTTTTTATTTTTTTTACCTCATTTACAGAGTTTTATCTAAAGGTTTTTGTTAAAGTAGACATTTCTATAACCTATGATATATTTTTCCTCCACAGCTATGTTCCAATAGAAAGAGCATATGGTAGTTTTCACAAAAATAAACTTGAAAAAGTTCTTCATTAACATTTAGCTGTTTCCTTGGATGACACTTCCTTCTATTTTTCCACCATGAGCTTTCTGACTGGAAACAGTGAAGAAAACATATGTTGGAGGATTAAAATGTCGTATTACTTTCAGAGTATAGAGAAGCGTTTGACCTTTTTTTTTTCTTGTGTTTTAGGTGGTCAGAGACGTGCTGCTGCTCGGACACAGGCAGGCATTTGCTTGGGTTGACGAGTGGATAGGTAACATCTGCAAGCATTATGTTTTTTTTTGTGTTTGATCAGTTTCCTCTAAGCTTGTTATTGTTGACGCATGGACATCCATCCCAACTGCATTTAATCTTTTTAAAAACAGCATGATCCTCCTCTCACTACTAACCCACCAATGCTAAACACTTTTCCCACTCTTCTTATAGAAATAGTCTAATCCAATTAAATCAAATTCTGTGAAACAAAAAGTAATTGTTTTTTTTAATACACTTCACTTTCAGATTGTCTCTGAAAGCTTAGTAAACATGATTCCTGTTTGGTTTGGAGCTTTAAAAAAAACAGAAATATGTTCAGACTGCTGGAGCCAGTGACACATTAATGCTGGCTCTGTCTGCTTCCCCGGCTGCACAACAGAAACCCTTGTGTGCGCCTCTCAAGTAGCTGCAGCAGATTTACTCATTCTCAGCTGTTAAGGTTTTTCCAAAGCTGTGGCACAAACAACAAAACAATCCTGTTATCTTTACGCTGAAAGCTATGCTGCCTCTCTCCATAATAACCACTAACATCAGCACTCCCTCCTCCCTGAAACCTGGATGCTTCCTAATCCTCCTAAAGTATCTTTCCCTCGTGAAATGCGTTTTGTTTTTTCTTCACTGTGGAAACCTGAACCTTTCACATTTTTCTTGCCAGTGATTCAACCTCTTCTTGTTTATCCCCTAATCTTGAATCAAACCCAAAGCTCCTCCATCTTTCCCTCCTCTCTGGGCTTGGACTTGTCTTTCCTGCACAATCTTTGGGTCTTTGGCAGCTCACACTTTACCCTCTACGCCTCTAACTACACCAAATCTTCTAAATGCCAGCAAATCCTTCCTTTCACTTAACTGTCTGTGAGCTGGAAAGCATTGATGGAAGAGTAACAACATTTTGACCTTCATTGCACCCCTGCCTCCCCCACCTTTTTACAGATATGACTTTTGATGACGTGCGGGATTACGAGAGAAAAATGCATGAGAAAACCAACATTAAAGTTTGCAATGAGCAGGAAGAGCTTTCAACAACAAACGCATCTTCACTGGATGACATACAGATCCATGAAAAAGCAAGCGTATGTGACTTTTCTTTTGCTTTTCTCCATTTCCCCTCCTTTGTCTTCTAATTTTACAGGCTTTGATTTGCAAATGAGGTGTAAGGGCTTCATATCATGTTACAACCAGGGTTAAAAATGTGACATTTGACGGCTCTGATAGTAGTTATTAAAAAACATGATTGGTTACAGCAGATTGTGAGCATAGGAAACACATATAACTTCTTTTATTTTGAAGGAGTGGTTTGTAGGAGGTGTTTCCTATGCCGCAGAACCCAAACAGCATTTCAGTCAGGCCTGAAACCCCCATTTTGGAAACGAACAGACATGCTACCAAATAGTTTAAGAAAAATGAACATTTACAGTATTAAGGCTTCCTTTTTATCCTGATTATCATGATATTTGTTTTGCATATACATGTTAACTAACATGTTAGAATTACTTTGTTGTATTACAGAACAGGCCAAATTACAAGGCAACAGGACTTTCACTCAGTTTTTCTCAGTTTGTGTACTTTATTATATTCCCAGTGGATAATAAACTTAAATAAATTGTTGCTAAGAACAGAAAAAAAAAAGAGCTAGAAAATATCTTAATGTCTATCAGTGTTATACACATGTTGTGAAACTGTAGACATGCCATTTTAGTACCTTTTAAAGTAGAAAAAAGCCAGATTTACATAAACATGTTGAAAAGGAGAAAAGGCATTTCCATTCTCTGTCAGCTGGAGGAAAAGCCTCAGCATTAAGTTTTAAATCCCCATTGTTTTGTTAACATTCTTTTTATTGCAAGTTGCGGTTATATTGAAAACAAAATGTTGTTTTTCATGATTTTAGAAGATCAAATTTATTTTTAAGCCTATTCTTTTATGATTTTTGTTTTTCATTATTTTTCTCAAAATTTTCTGAGCATCCTCTGGCACCCCCTGGTGGCTTCCCCTGTAGGTTGCACCCTCCACTTTAAAAAGAACTACGGCTACTTTAACATAAAGTTTAATCAAGTTGGAACTTTTCACCCTGATGAGAAGCCTTAAAGGCAACTTTAAATTATATTTCCTGGTAATGTGGGTAGGAAACAATCATTTGTTTGTTTAAAAAATTTAGAGCTGTGGGTTTTAAAGCTTTCTTTGTGTAATTTGAACTTATCCAGTAGCTCTTAATGCCCACAGCTCATAAATCAAAAGATGTTTTTTCTTTAGCAACTATTTGACAGTCATTTTTATATGGACTTTAACTTTAAGTTTTCATTTTTAACTGTTTAAACACAAAAGCAGGTGCCGTCTTATTTTCCTCAAATGTTGTTTGTGTGAAAAATATAGGAAAATAATCTATGACCAGCGTTTAGGGTTCCATTTCTGTATGATTAATGTTGAATATTTGTAATATTTAGATTTAGTAAATACTATCTACTCACCACTGTGCTTTAATTTGCACATATATTGATCCATACCGCCATTTTGGTTTCTCCATGTGCATTGCACTCTTTACCCTAGGAATTTATAAAGAAGCCGATGCACTTAACCATGGTGTATCACTTTATTTTACTAGTTAGGTTATTATGTTGAAATATGAAGGTAAATATTATACATTTAACTGAATATAACAGTCAATTATTTTCCTGAGATTTTAAAACCATATTCCATTTCAACTTATTGATGCTAATCCCTATTCAGGCCATATGACCCAAGTAAATATAGCAGATTGTATAGAATCATTTTAGCTTATTTAAATAGATCTGGATTATTACTGATGGATATATTCTGTTAGGGTCATATGAACAAATCTTTAGATTACATATAGATTGTTGATCATTTGCTGTCAAAGCAGGTTTGAATCTAATAGTAGGTGTGAATTATTTTATCGTCCACCAACTGACTGCATCTTTTTTTGGTTCAAAATGACCAAAACTGCATAACACCAACACTTCAAAAGGGCAAACAACCAGTATCTAGCGTCCCCTTCCGTCAAAAATAACAAAAAATACCATTTATGGTTGGAGATATGTGTTTGAATGTCAACACATGAACCCAGGAGAAAGGCTAATCGATGCATTGTCTCTTATGAATCTCTTTCCAGACATGACGATGGATGAGGTGAGAGAGTTTGAGCGCTATATCCAGGAGGCCACCAACCAGAAGATTGGGGTGTTTCCCCCATCGATCTCCATAAGCGAGACGCCCCTGTCCTCCTGCGCTCTAACCGGCCCCGCCAGCGCTCCTTCAACCCCAATGTGCACGGATGCTCCAGAATCCCTGTCCGTTCCCAAAGACCGGCCTCGCAAAAAGTCTGCCCCCGAAACACTGACCCTTCCGGAGCCCCCTTCCAGCGAGGTGGCACAGAGCTCTGATCTGAACCAGTTACCCATTTCCAACCATATCCAGTCATCCACTCCGCCTTCCGACTCTGATCTCGCTGAAACATGCGAGCAGTAGAACAGAGGAATGTCTTCCCCTAACCCCTGTTTAATCCTTATCTTCTCTACCCTGTGTCTTATGAGCCCAGTGAGGCTACTCTTGCCTCCAAGCACCAGTGCCCTAACACTCGACTAATTTAGCCATATCCAACAATTCACCATAATCTTTAAACACACCAATCACTCTAGAAGTCTTCATTATTGCCATCCAGGCAGCTGTTGGCTCACTCCCCCGATGGGGGCGGAGTGCCAGTCAAGCGAGCCAGATGTCAGATCTTTTCTAACAAACACATTTAGTGTCGATGGAAAGCGAAGGTTTTTTTTTTTTTTTGCTCAGCGGCAGTTCTTTGTGTGAATAAATTCTTTTCATCGTGTCCAGAGTTATGTCTTCTTAAATCAAACCAGATGGCCACGAATTATTGCATTTTTGACATAGTTGCCTTGACATCACAGCCAGTGGAGATTCCGTTCTGATAGTCGGTTCAAAATCATTTTATCAGTTACTAATTAGCATCAAAAGGTAAATTCTAATAAAAATTCAAACTGGAACAGCACAGTAGAAGTAGAACCTCACTGAAGAGGCCGTCTACGTATTTTATGATAGATCCACTGAAGTGTTCCTGTAGCTGGTCAGATTGTACTCATTATCTGTTTAAACGCTGAAAATGCAAAATCTGTACAATCACAAAATAAAAAAAAAACACCTCAGGTCTCCTATAAACTCACCCGGATCTCTCTCCAGGGGCAGGATGCTGTTGTACCCAACCCACCCTGCTTTATAGCCAAACCTTCCTTTTATACCTCCAGAAATGTTATGATACGAAACATAGTACGCAGCAAAGCAGACTTCTTCAATCTGGGAATGTTTACACATCTTAGAGCTTTTAAATGAAGCCGCATCTGCAGCTTGACGCTCACAAAGCTTACTTAGTTCAAGTCCGTCACCCCATCCTCTATATCCTACAGAAAATTAATAAGAGATCAATATCAGAAGAATTACACGGATGTTTCCGGAAGCTAATGGATATCAAATGATATAAAAGATCCACCTAAATGAAATCATTTTTTTACTTTTTGGGGGGAAACGTGATTACGGTTGAGCTTTGAGTCCCAGGCGGACTCTTGTGCACAGTGCAGATGAAAAGTAGATGCTAACGTTTGGAAAGAAGGGCACATGTGTCAAGCTGACTTGAGTATGTGCTTCATAGATGCACAATGTGTGAAGTAACGTCCAGCCAGGACTGTGGAAGCAAAGCCGACGCTTTTAGGAGAATCAGAAACATCCTTTACTGTAGGCAAATATTAATGGAAGGCTGTCAACTAACTTTAAAGGAGGAACTAATACAGTAGATTTAGTCGACCAATCAGTATATTCTTCTATGGAGACCAATATTATTCAAAGACGGGGGTTTTTATATGCTGCATGGAACGTTCACGACTTGTATACAAAACATATGATGTGTGATATACTGTATATGTACGGATTGTTACAGTATATTAGGTAATGTTAACTCTATGAAGAAAATCAACCAAATGCTTCCATTGGAAGTCTGAAGTCATTTTGTACAGCAGGAAATCAGATTTGGTCTGAAATGTAAGCATGTCCAGAGTATTTACTGTAGGCCTATGAACTGTTTGAACTCAGTGACTCTGCATGCTACAGTTTTAGCATCATCTATGTGTACTCCCCAATTTTTAAGAACTCAGCTGGAGAAATTCTTAATTTCATCACAAACTTCCTGAAATAATTATTTTGCACAATGAAATCACTTTTAATCCAACATAAAAAATTGAAGCTATATCAGACTTGCAGCTGGAAAGAGGTTTACGTCAGCTCAATGTGGGCATGAATGTCTTTAATATTGGCTTTTAACTATTTATTGAAACTGCTTTTTTGTGCAAAGGATCATGCAATAAAAGAACTTCAACGTCTTTCAGATATAAATTTGGATGCGCAAGCTTGGAATTAAATTTCTCTAATATAAGCATGGTCAGCGCTTTCTCTATACGTTTTTAATGAACAGGAAATGTTTGAGTTATTATCACTTTTAAATTTCGGCATCCATTTATTAAAAAAAACTTTAATGATTACTTGATATTAAGCAAATTGGAAAATAGCATTAAATCACACATGGTAACTGCTCTGCATCTGATGCAGACGCAAAATGTTTTAATCCATATTTCCTTAAAAGATTAGAACGCATTTATTGACCTACTCTGATGAGATGTTTCTGCTGAAACATCTTGGACTCCTTAGGTTTAGATCGATTTGGTTTTTTGCCACCTGTGCAGGATCAAAACCTCTTATTCTCATCAGATTTTCTTGGTCGTTTCATCGCGATTTACTTTTCAACATTTTCCTTATTTAATTATATTATTTTACCTGGAAGAACCATGGCTAAAAAGTGGAGAGTAAAGGCATTACTTCCTGAAGGAAACAAAAATATCTGTATGTCTACACTTTTGATAAATTCAAACTTGTGCAACTCTCATTTATAAAGTCATTGAATTGGTTTATTGCATCCTCATTTTAGCAATAGATAAAAAAGCAGTTTTATTAAATACACGCCTGAGTTTAAATCCATTCATGTCCAGCAAACTTCTAACCTGACAACAGCCAGATGCATGTCTCGCTCCGCCTAGCTCCACTCACTAGGAATGAGTGGAGCTGGGCGGAGCAAGACATGCATCTGGCTGTTGTCAGGTTAGCAAACTTCTCCCAGAGCAGCAGAGTTATGTGCCTCCTCATCCTAGCAGTGGCAGTGAAAAAAACACAACATGCAGCAGTTAAACTGTTCTGTATGTGAAACATGTTGGCTTTTACTACTCTATCGCTCTTTTTTTGCCTCATAATGTAGCCTGGTGGTCCTTTACAGTTTAAATAGAGCTTTAAGTTCTTCCGCAGCTTTTGTTTAGACTCTTTTTCTTTCCTAATTCCACCTCCTCCCTCATGTTTCTCCTGGTCTTCAAAGAGTAACCGTTCCAATAAAAATCCCAGTACTGCCACTGCATGAAGATGCAGAGGGGTGTAACTCAGAACATATCAAAGTACACCGGGCCTTTAAATGCTGTTTTTATTCATACAGATTCTCAGTCATCCAGGACATGACAATCCTAAGTGCTTTAGGCACCTGGACTTCCTCTGCTTGGGACATATGACAGAAACAACTAAAGACGCACTTAACTGAGCTGAAACAGAGCTGCTTGTCCTAGTTTCCCTTATTAGTGACTTCATTGGCCGTATTAGTGTGATTTTACTGATTACAAATTCTAAGCATGTTTAGAGCTGAGGAACCTTTTGATGAGAGGCGAATCATCTTCAAGGGAAAAGAGGAGACTAAGTCCAGTTGCCTTCTGCTCAATCGCTAAAGGTTCAATTGCTGACATTACATAGATGCATACTGCACTTTCCAGTCTTTGACACCTCAATTGACAATGAAGGAATGTGTTTATAACTGAGCTGTACAGCACAGTCATTTTGAAGAGAAAATATTCAGTGGTCTTGCCATACATCAACAATTTGTATAGATTCTCATTTAGATAAAAATAAAAAAACTGTAGCTATTTATTTGTAATTGTAGCTTTTCTCATTTTCTTTAAAGGATAAAAAAAAAAAAAATCTACATACCAACCATTGGCTGTCTGTTTACATCTATTTTAAATATAGATGCTGACTAGTCTGGTATCAACCGCCTCTCTTGTCAGGAACACAGAGATCCAGGGACATGTTTGATCCACCATGGGCTATTAAAGTAATGCAAAGTGTATGTGGAACATTAATCTCTGCTCTGTTTAAAAGAGTAATCTGATAGCTATTGTAAATACAGCTGTTAATGATTAATATTGTAGATTTCTGATGTTGCGCCTGCTCTGAGTTTCTTTACTGATGTGCCATGAATGTGCTGAAGGACTTAAAATGGACCAGCTAAATCTTTTAATGAGGGTTTGTGATGTTTTCACACACATGATTTAAATTGTTTCCTTTGAATCGGGTTTAATGTGTTTTATTCTATGACGTTTCTCTTAAACCTTCTGATTTTAGTTGAGTTTAATATTGTTTTTTTTTTCATTTAGATATCACGGTTCTTTGTAGTGGTGCAGTTTTTGCTTGTTGCTTCTAATGAACCCCACAGGGGTGTATCATTTTCTAAGTTGTAAAGCAAATCGATGCTTTGCATTTTAGTGGCGTGGCTGCCTTGAAGTTTACCCGCCTCCTTAATTTCGAGGTGAAATTTTATTTTTTTAGATAGTAATCTTTGCTGTTATTTGATTTAGTGATTGCTGTAAATCATTTCGTTTCTCTTCCTGATTCGGTTTGCATTCAGTTGATCGGTTTTGCTGTCTTCTGCTTTCTGGAATCTGTTTCATGAGTTCAGCTCATCTTAGTAGTGGCTGAATGTGCAGCTGCACCTTGAATGAATCCAGCTTCATGAAACGATCCCAGAGGTTCCATTCCTGTTTAGCTGCTGAAAGTTGCTTTGTTCTTCCACTCTGAATTATTGTATTGTACTTGGTAAGTTTTTACTCCCCTTTGAGGTTTATTTGGTTCTTTGTTGTAATTATTGTTTAAAAGTTTTCTTAAACGGATAAATAAAATTTATTAGCTATTGTTATTGTGTTACTGTTTATTCAGTTTTCCTTCATGCTTCACATAATTATAAAGCAATTTTTTCAGTTACCATATATACAGTACATATATGTGTATATAATGTGTGTATATGTGTGTATGTACTGTATATATATATAGATATATATATATATAGATAGTACAGTTAGGAATATAAGTATTTTAACAGCCTGCTATTTTGAAGGTTCTCCCACTTAGAAATCATGGAGGGGTCTGAAATTGTCATGGCAGGTTCATTTCCACTGTGAGAGACATAATTTAAAAAATCTAGAAAACACAAGGTATGATTTTTTTTTTACTATTTATTCGTATGACACAGCTAAAGTTAGTATTTGGACACCTGAGAAAATCAGTGTTAATATTTGGTATAGTAGCCTTTGTTTGCAGTTACAGAGGTCAAACTTTTTAGTGTAGTTTTTCACCAGGTTTGCACACACTACAGGAGTGAGTTTGGCCCATTCCTCCACACTGATCTTCTCTAGATCACCCAGCTTTCTGGGCTGTCACTGAGAAACATAGAATTTGAGCTCCCTCCAAAGATTCTCTATTGGGTTTAGGTCTGGAGACTGGCCTGACCACACCAGGACCTTGATCTGCTTTTTCCACAGCCACTCCTCCTGGCTGTGTGCTTCGGCTCATCGTCATTTTGGAAGAACCAGCCTCCACCCATCTTCAATGCTCTGAGGGAAGGAGGTTGTTTCCAAAAATCTGGCAATCCCTGGCCCCGATCATCCACTCCTTAATATAGTGCAGTTGCCCTGTCCCATGTGCAGGAAAAAACACACCCAGAGCATGATGCTACCACCCCCATGCTTCACAGTAGGGATGGTATTCTTGGGATGGTACTCGTTACTCTTCTTCCTCCAAACACGGTTACTGGAATTATGACAAAAAAGTTCTGTTTTGGTCTCATCTGACCAAATGACTTTCCACCAAATGGTCATTGGTAAAATTAGGACGGGCCTTTACTTTGGAGATGGAGGGATATTTCACCTTTATCATTCATTCCTTTAAGGACCTAAAGGCACGTCTCCTATTCACTGCAGCAGTGTTGCTGATTTAGACACATCAGTTACTGGGGCTAATGCTCATTGAATAGCAGCTCCCTCCAGACCAACATGTATAGTTGTTAGTGGAGGGCAGGAGAAGAACGACAGTAAAAACTACAGTTGCATTCCTCTCTGGTTCACAGTGTTTCCGAATGAACACTGGCAGCTGCACAGCATCTGTCATCTGTCAGGGACCCCTGACTGAACTTGAACTGACTGAACCTGAAGTTGGCTACTGGCTGTAAGTATGTATAGTATAGTTTTTTGCACGCCCTCAAATTAGTATATATTTCCTGCAGCCACTGCAGGAACATTATAGCCACATAATAGTAATCTATGGCCCAAAGTCAGTGTTTTTGGGAACAAATTTGTATTTTGTTCACAAACCCTTAATCATTTATTCCTAATATGTCAGTTTCCAGGGTCTTCAGGTAGATCACCTTGATCCACACTTTGGCAGAAAAAAATGGCTGTTGCGTTGAAGTTAAAAAAAAGAAGCTTTAAATTATTAGGTTAATTGATTTATCATTAATTTTGAATAAAATATTTTTAAATTACATTATGAGGGCTTTTGAAAAGCCAATATGTGCTAGTTGGTCGAGTGTCATTGAAGTCTTAGGTCATCTATCTGTTTTGAAACTAGATTACCCATATTTTAGTTCAGGCCACTCCAGCTTTGATTCACTAAATTCAATATTGATGCAATATATTTTCACTCATAATATATAAACACACCTCCCTTTTAAAATATGTCACAGGTTTGGCTCAGATATTTTGATGTGTTCTGCTGACATAAACCGGATCTCTTTTCTTCCTCTAAAAATGTAATATTTTTTGTTAATCAACCTATTTAACAAAGCTGGCTTTAGAAATTTGGCAAATATTAAATTAATAGTTTCATATTAAATAACTTGTCAATTTAGACAAGCCCAGTTTGTGTTATTATATTGATTAATCAGTATACATCTGTTATTTTTATAAATAAATATTTGCAGCTAACATCTACATGTTTTTTCTGCACAGTTTAGTTTTTTTCTAGAGGCTTTAGTCACATTGCAATAAGTCTGGAGTAGACTAAGGAAAATGTTTCCAGCCCTCCTGAAACCATCTTTGAAGTTAGCAGTGAGAGAGAGAGATACCTGATCCATTGACTACTTTCTAAAATTGGGGTTTAAGAGCTGTTACTGGGGGAGTAAAACAAAATTGATCTTTGTTTTATCCAATCAGAGGTGGACCTGTTATTTGGCTTTGGATCGTTCCCCACTATATGATACAAGTAAGCTTAAGTGTTCGTTAAAACCATCTGATTCTAGAATCATCTGATGGAATAAGTCAGTGGAATAATTAGTCCCTTCAACTGCTTCAAAGTCATGTTGTATATTTCTAAATCAGCAGACTAACACATGCAAATAACACTTGTAGATTTTTATTTGCAGACAATTTTAAACATCTATGTGGAAAAATCATGCAGTTCCTTAAACACAGTTATGTTTTCTTTGTATATAACATAAAATCTCAAATTTTAAGGTGGAATCTAAATGAGGAGAAAGATTTCCAACTTTTTGGGTAATTTGTTTTCCTCTTTTTAAATTGTTTTGCACATCAGCAACATTACAGGCCATAATGTGATTGGATAATGTTAGACAAAGGCAAATTCATTCTGTGAGATAAGGTCATCCCATGGTAAAGTTTCACAATAACACAAAGTAGTATAAGGGACAGAAGTATAAAGCAAACGATCACAAAAATGAGCCAGAATCCCTCCACAGGTAATGCAGATATGGAATGCAACTGGTTGCGCTCTTTGTCATAAACACAGTTCAGATTGCTTTGGAGTTTGTAGCTGACTTTACATGAATTATTTCGTTTATTGATGTCAGTGACTGTAAAAACCTCGTATGGAGGAATTAGAACTTGACTATCTCCTTTAAGGGCAGAGTATTTTGTTACGTTTGCTCCAAAGCATGAGTAGATCTCATAACATGAACCTTTCCTATCAGTATTCCACTTATCTGAACCTAAGATAAACGTGCTAAATCGAACCTGACCAGTGGAGATGTTGGGTTCTAAAACAGTTTCTGTTCTGTATTTGGTGCTCAGACATATCACCTGATTCTGCTTTAAGATTTGAATCACCTGAGTAAGGGAGGAATAAAGGGAGACGGGTTCAAAGGTACGTCTTGGTTTTAAAGTTTTCTCTGCAGGATCAGAGTTTCCCTTGCCTTGTTTCAGTGCACTCTGTGTGAACAGGTATAAAGCCAGCGAATGGATTCTCTCCATGTACTTTTCTGCAGGCTCTTTCAGGTTTTGCTCTGATGTTTTCCAGGCTTTACTAAAATGTGCACTGCAAGAATCCCATATTTGTTCAATGGCCTCATCGTTTACAACCGAAACTGTAGTTCTGCAGTCTGCTGATTCCTCACCACTGAAGTTAGAGGTCAGGGCTTGAGAATTCTAAAGAGAAGAGGAAAAAAAAAATTTAAATGTCCACTAGAGGGCAACATACACAGAAAATTGTTAGAAATAAGCAATAGTTACATTCCAGCTCAGTAATTTCCTATTTGTTTCATATTTTGTATGTGCCTATTAAAGTATGTGTTAGATGAGAAACACTGCGGCTTACCTCTTCAACAGTATCCTTCCAGCTAAGATACAGATATATGACAAAAACTACAATTAGTCCCTCTAAAAAAACTAGAGAGGCAATGACACACGCAGAGACCTTCTGTCGGCATTCTTCCTTTTTCTGGGATGGCTTCAAACATCTGGGGGGGGGGGGGGGGGGGGGGGAAGGAAATGCATAATCTAACCAAGAATGAAGACAGTGCAAGTAATTTGGAACAGCACCCCCAATGCAGAAGGACACAGTCAGGATGTTGATGGGCAGCGCACTTGGAGCTTTGATATGCTCCAAATGTTGAATATTGATCTGGATAATCATTTATTATATCTCAAATAAAGCTAATACTTCGGTCAAAGGTTGCAAAGTGTGTCTTTAACTACGAAACGTATAATAAAAAAAAATCCCAGATCTTATTTTGTTTATTCATTTATTAAAACAACTACATTTGATTTAGTTCATGTTTTTTATGTTTACTAATGATTTTTTTGTTTGATTGTTTATTAGTGTCAGTGTTTTGTTTTTACTGGCAGTCTCCAAGAATTTGCTTGTGTTAGTGTGTGGTGTTATTCAGCTTTAATCCCAATTTATACTAGAATAGTTCATCACAAAACCCTTAAGTGCTTATTGGTCAGGCTACTAATTAAGCATGCACTGTTTCTTTTTTTTCTTTTATGCAAACTGTTTAATACCCTGCATGATTGTGATGAATACCCCAAACTCAGTAAAGATGATTTCTATCAATTTCAAGCGTTACTAAATTGTTTTGTTGCAAACTGTAATCCGGCCTTCTTTTTAGTTTGCTATTCTGCAAAATCTGATCTTGCAAGATATTTTCAGACCTAGTATTTATACCTCTAGAACATTTTATGCATGTTTATTCATTGTCTCAGATTGGTCAATTATTTCGGGGTTGGACAGACCCCCACCAGGACCCCCCACAAATATATTTCCATATCCACTGCATCGTTACATAATCTGTAACATCCTCTGAGATTGGATAAGCTGCAAGGCCTGCTGGGTAGTCAGTCAGATAAATAAACGAAGAAAACCCACATGGACTAATCTTCCTCATAGTTTGTTAAAATGAGGTTGCTCATGTTGGTAGTTCTGTTCATGCTGAGCTAACATTATGTTTTAGGTTTAGCATTTATTAGTTGTTTACATGGGAAGAACATTGCACCAGATGGAAATGGGGGAGAGTCAGGTGACTAAACCTGCTTTCGTGTGACCTCTTAACTAGATGCTACAATAAAATATTAGCCATATTTATTGGAACCCCTGGTAAATCTGTGTTTTGCAAAACACTAAAAATGACTCTGGACATTTATAAGAAAATTAGAAAAGTTTAATAATCAAAGATTTCCATCTGCTTGTTCAAACCTTAAGAAATAGTGAAGAACAAGTTTGGTCCTTTTGACAGAAGAACATTAAACAGGTTCTGGCAGCAGGGTAGTGAAATGGTGAAACCTGCACCTCTTTTTAAAATTATCGAACACATTCAAATTGAAAAATGTATTCTTACACAAGTTTAGTGCAAAATCTATAATTATATACAGTAGGCTTCTACATCTTCATAAAGGCAAATGCAAGTTGCTAGCAGCCTAAAAACATTGAGTGCAGGAATAAAAAACCTCTCTGTGTTGAGAAGGCAGCTTTCTACAAATCCCTTAATAATGTTTCATTGATCAGTTTTATTTAAATATGTTTGCTCTATAATAATTTTAAATGGTGATCTCATCTTAAACGCCTGCTTCTTTTTTTAATGTTGGCTGTATCTGTCCTTCCAAACACCCAACCTTTGCCATTTAGTTCATCACTCTATCATCAGATATTTTTCAAACTAATGGTAAACTCTCACACTGAGTAGAATAAAAATCTAAGTGAAACTAAGTCTGATAACTTACCTCATGTTGTAAACCACATTAAGGAAACCTTCCTGTGTATCTGTATCATCTTGCAGAATGACTCACCTTAGTTTGCATTAGCCAGTATCGGCAACTAAACTGGATTCACCTGTTTTACCACCAGGAGATCCTCCTTCTATCTGTGCTGACAGACAAAGGTGCACTGTGCTTACTTTTGCAGCACAACTACTAAGTACAACATAGTAAAATGCTAACTTAAGCAAAAAAAAATCCAAATGATTCAAGATTAAAGGTCAGCCTATGATTAGTTAGTAGTTTCTTATCTGTGACGCTGTGCAAACATAACATGCAAAATAGAGATTATTTTGAACTACAGTGTTTATTAAGGTGTGGGCTTGGCAGCTATACCTGTAATGCCTGTTCTGCAGTACTTTAAGGCAGAAAAATCTGCATTTTCTCTCACAGCGCCTCTGTCTTCTTTTACCTCAGTGGTTTATCATGCCTCTTGCAGTAAAAAGGTAAGCCTTTTTTAACTTGTTTGCTATAGAAACCTGTATATCTGTATATCTGTGGTGTGTTGAAAGATCAAAAACTCTAGCAAACCCTTGACATATTTTCATTGTTGACTCTCACAGGCTTCAGCAAGTTTATGGCAGTCAAATGCGCTAATATTAGAACATCGGCTCGACATCTTTGGTGCTTTTTAATCAGAAATGACGCTTACGAAGGGATCTGTGTGTGGGAGCAAATTCCTCAGAAAGCTGCTCCCTCTTTGTGGGCTGTTGCTGGTCATAGTCCTCTTGTATAATGATCCATTTCTGCTCCTGTGGTGGCCCCAGAGACCTGATCAGGTAAGATTCCGTTTTTAATCTGAAATGAGCAAAAGAATAACAACAATTTGCTACAGTGACTTGCAAAATTATGAAGAAAAAATGAATCCTTTCACATTTTGTCATGCTACAATTACAAACTTAATCGTATAAATGTGGGTTTTATATGCTAACACAAAGCATTGTTAAGTGGATGGAGAAAATACATTAGAGCTATATGTATTTTGCACTCCTCAGCCACTGTTTCCATGCAGCGGTTGAGGGCTTCAAATTTAGGGAAGACATTTTTCCACATTTTTAAATGCAGCAAATTCAAAAGTTCAACAAGGCTATAAAACTAGATTAGAAAACAAAAAAATGATGCATAAACACAAAAAAAAAGGCAAAATGTAAAAATCTACAGTCGGCAAAAACAACTGTAAAAAACTTCATTACAGAAAAGGGAGAGGAACAGTAAAGTGGACACATGCTGCAAAAACAAAACCTTCTGCAAATATATAACTGATGCTAACTTGAAACCACACAAAACACACGCAAAGGGGGAAATGGTGAAAGTAGCAAAAACATCTGCAGGTTGAGATAAGCTGCAAACTAGACCACTAAGGAGGATGCGACCAAAACTCATATAGGCCCCTGGTAAAGGTATACAAAGGATATATAGAGGGATTGCTTAAAAAGATTCAGAGGAAGACTTACCTTTTCTTTTCTCCTAAGGGTCTAGTCCAGAGACATTCATTTGTAGAAATTTATGGTCCCATATAAGTAGATGATTTTCTCCCACTAGTGGTCTAGCCTCTCAAAACCTGTTTTAAAGCATTTACAACTAATAACTATGAAAGCATAAAAATTACACAGGTAAAATGTTTTCCAATATAGACATGTTAGACATTGTTGGAAAGCTTAGATTCTCTACAATTTAATCACCTAGTTCATTTTATGGACACAGAGAAAAACAAAGCACCATTAACACAGATATAGCAGCATGTCAAAATGTAAACATGACAAAAGAGCCACAACAAGCAAGCATGTCAACTTTGAGTCATGTTTGAACTGCTGCAGCTTGGGCTGGGTTTTACGCACCCAATTTTCATGCATATATTCAGAAACTAGAAAATGTTAGCTTTCAAATTATTTATCACACATGCAATTTGAGTTTACAGTTCCTAAGTAATTTGCTTTTCCATTTGGCTATGCAAAATAGACGAGAATTTCAAAAAATGAGGTGGATATTAAGAGGCTAGAACACTTCTCTAATGCTGTGCAGATTTTCTTAACTTGCAGTTGTTTTTGCTGCTTGCAGCATTTTTTTAATGCATGTATTTTGTATGTTAGCACCACTCTTGTATTAGCAGCATCTTTTTAATTTGCTGCCTTTTCTGTAGTTGCAGATTTTCTCAGCTTGCAGTCAGTTTTGCTGCTTGCAAAAGTTTTCCTTTTAATGTGTTTTGTGTGGTTATGTGTTTACTTATTGATGAGTTTGGCAAACCATTTTAATTTGCTGTGAAATCATGTATCAGCATTGAATTTTCACCCCTCAGCCACTGCAAGTCTTTAATGGCTTTACACATCTGTTTAATTTGTTTACCCACCTTATAAAACAAAAAACTTAAATTTGATGTTTCAAACTTTTAACCACATATTCTCAATTACTTTTTAGGTTTGAATTTTACTGGGCCATTTAACACATTTGAGCTAATCCTTTCATTGTATTTCTGTATTTATATGTATATAAGTAGAATAGGTGTTCTACTGGAGGTGATCCTTTGCCCCATACTCCGTATTTTTCAACTTCCAGCAGGGCTTCTTACAGCACGGAGCTGCATTTAGCTCCATCTACATTCCTATTACCTTCCAGTTTTCTTATATTCTCATCGCTAAAGAAAAGTATGATGCAAGCAGTACGATGCTACCATCACCATGGTGTAGTTTCAGACTTGGGGTTATTGTCAGTTATTCCTCAGCAAATTTTGCATGTCAGCCATGTTTGCTGCTTGCCTTACATGGCTTGTGGCGAAAATATAAATCAGACTTTATTTTTACTTCACTTGAACAATGAGCTTCTTCTTTCCACATTTTCATAAAACTGAGTTATTGAAAAGGCTTCACTCACAGTCAACACAGTCTCAGCAGTTATTGCAGCTCTTCCACAGCCACAACTGGTCTCCTAGCCAGAGGTGTCAAAAGTATTAATGTTTATTACTCAAATAGAAATCCTACTGTTTAAAAACACTTTTGTACAAGTTGGAGTATCAAGTTAAGTTTTTTAGTGAAGTAAAAGTACCATTTTTAAAACTACTTAATAGATAAAGTTAAAAGAAATGCATGCAAAACATTTAGGACAGAAGCTTTACTGCACTAGCCTATTAAAGAAACATTTTCTACAATTCTGGATGATAACTTCCTTAGACTTCAGTTTCTTAGTTCTATAACTAATGGCAACAGCGTCAAATTTAGCTTTACACCATCTGGAAAACTATTTTGGTATTTGGCAAACAAGTTGATGCAGCACTGAGTCCAACCACAAGGAAATGATGCTTGGATGAAACAAATTATTTTGATAGTATCAAAATAAATATATAAACCAACAGGCCATAAAGCAAATTAACTCAAAAGAAACAAAATTAACCAGTCTATTTTTAAAATGTAAGGAGGAGTAAGTAGAGATAATTTCAAAAATACTGTTAGTTGTCTGAAAAATAATTACTAAAGTAAAGTATGGGTAACCGGAATTTCTATTTAAGTAACAGAATATGTTCAAGTATTTGTACGTTGTTACTTGACACCCTTGCTTCTAGCTTTACAGTTGTAGTTTTCTTTCTTTTGCCTGTCACATCAAATTCCAATAAAAAAATAATGCTTGTGACAAAATCCCATTGCACTTTTCAAATACAGGTAGAAAATAAACAAAAGAGTTTACGTGACAATTTGACAAATTGACAAATTTTCTCAAAATATTTCACATGTTCAGCCATTTTCTGCTTCTCGTTTCAGAATGCTGCGGTTCTACCCCTGGATATGGCTCTAGATTGTGTCGACGACATGTATGATGGTTGCCATTCTAAATCCAAGACTCTCATCAACCTGTATGGCGTGTTTGAGTGGCACGTCAACGTAAACCTTAGTTATGCTTGGGCTTCAGTCGAAAGATCTGCAAAAAAACCTGTGGACAAACTCCTGCAAGATGATCACGCTACATCCTTATACATATTCACAAAACTGGCCAACATCCGGCAGATGTTCAACAAAGCAGTAAGAGGTGGAAAACACAAGTACAGCACGGATCATTTTAGATTTCATTTTTTGTACTTCTACTTGACGGATGCTATTCAAGCTCTGAATCAGAACCATTCGGCGTGCAGGACTGTTTATCTAAGGACGTGGAAACGTTTTGAGCAGGACGTCGTCGACACAAACATTCGCTTTGGGACATTAATTTGGTCAGCTTCAAGCAAACAGTCATTTGAGACCAATGGCAATGTTTCCTGTTTTGAGATTCTAACATGTTTTGGTGCTGACATCACATATTACTCCAGCACAAACCAGATGGGGCAAGTACTCATTCCCACCTATGAGGTTTTTAAGGTCACAGAGGTTCTGACAAATGACCCGTGGTGCAGAGTGGTCTACAAGCTTCAGAGCACCAAAACACCAAAGACGGACCAAAACTGCGAACTGGTTCAAAGGCTAACAAACTCTCCTTTGGTTGGAGGATTAATAAACTGGTTTGGAGGCAACATGATGACCATGTCAGCGTGTGCAGTTCTGTTAATAATAAATTCTTTCATTCTTATACATCGCAAACAAAAGCGTTATGTGGCAGTCGTGCTGGGTTCCCTTCTTATGCTGATGATTATCATGTTTTTATTGTTTTAGTCATAGTGTAACTTATCCTAGTTAGCATTCAGCGGTTATTTGTCCCAAAGGAACGTCTTTATGCTTTTTTAATGCGTCTGCGTCATGGAAATCTTGTAATTTGAACATGCAAAGTAAAACAAAACAAGCTCACTGCAGCACGTACTTTGCAAGTCAAATTTAAAAGAACCAAAGGATATAGTAAGGTGTAAAATGTTAAATATAAAGTCCCAAAAAGTCCTATTTATTTGCGAGGTGGCTTTTAGTTTATTGGCAGTATTGGTCTTCGAACTGTCTCTTTATGCACACTTAGTTTTTATTTAGTTACTTGATTACCTACCTGAAGAGGTCTTCTGCAGGAGAAGCAGGAAGTGGTATATTGAGTAAGAGCAATATATCACTGCTCTACACATGTAAGAAATTTGTATGCATAAGGCCTTTTTTGTCACTAAAATAAGTAATTTCTTGAAAGTAATCATGTACCATGTGTGTATTATCAGATAATTTATGAAATATGTTTAATTCTGGGTGAAGGGTTTATGATTAATGATGAGGCCTATAATGGGTTGCTATAAAACTCCTCTGTCTAGACTGAAACAATCTAAATTATTGATAGTTAGACTTTTATCTTTGATTTGCAATTTTTTGGGCTGATTATTATGATATAAATGTGTATCTAATTTCTTGTCTAGATAATAGATCTTAAAACCAATGTTTAATTGCAGGCAACTGCAATGCCAGTCTTATCAGAAGACTTATCACCTCTTATCTCAAATGCTATCTTAGGTCTCTTAAAGGATCTTGAGTTTCAAGTTTTAACACGCATATATATATATATATATATATATATATATATATATATATATATATATATATATATATATGCATCAAATAGGCATGACTGAATTTTAATGCTATTCAGTTTTTATGTGGTATTTTTTCATTTACAGGGGCCATCTAAGAAGGACAGTTTACTTTCCTCTTCCTTTTTTGTGATGTTTATATTCACTAATTTGTCATATTTAGTAAAGCCATTTCCATAAAATGTCGATCAGAGGATCCTGGAACAAACCTTAAAATGTCCATGTTTCCCTTTCCTCTAAAGCAGTAGAAAATATGGAAAGGAGAGAGTGAAAATAACTTCTTGATTGTTTACAGAAATGAAAACGTATATTTACTTTTTTTCGTTCATTAAAGATGAATTACATTGTAACATCCTGTTACGTGCTGGTATGTATCAGTGTAAATGTGCAGGATTAAGGTGGAATGACTGTTTTATGACGGTGTAGTTACAGGCATATCTTTGTGAATACATTTTTCAAAACATAAAAAGATCCTGCACTCACACCCTTGTTGGTTCTATGCTTCCTTAATTTTAGATTCTCAGAAAAAAAAAACACAAATACGAGAAAAGAGAAGTTAGAATCATGTTTCACACTTATAGATGCTTGTTATTTTTTTAATAGGACAAACAACGATTCACACACACAAAAATTTGTTAGACAAATTTGTTGCAAATTTGAAGAAAATGTCATGTTTGTCTCTGTGTTGCCCCGCTATGGGGTGTGACATATCTAGGGTGTATCTCGCCTGTAGACAGCTGGGGATAGGCACCCGATGGGTGGATGTGTTTATTGGTTCCTTTAAGGACTGCCAACCATTTTAGTTTCAACTGTTTGGTTTTCACAGAAAAAGTTGGGTGTGATAGATGGTCACAACCAGCATGAAATGACAGATACATAGATGACTAAGGATGACAAAGGTTTGGGCTTCCCCTTTTTGGGTTATGTACTTTATGTTTAGTGGAAGGAAAACACGTATTTCTATACAAAAATGAACAAATAGTTAACTGCACAGTCATGTATGCATTTGAAATATAGTTAAGGATCTAACCAATGGTAGGATTTAAAAAGGTTATGTTATTTTAATTTCAGGATCATGCAACATTTCTGACTCATTCCCTCATCTGTTTAGATTATCAGCTCTCTTATTCGGGACTGATTGTCACATTGACCCAAGCTTTCCTCAGTTTTAAAGAACAAATGTACTTTAAGAAGTACCAGAATCATTATCAGCCCTCACCATGGTTGGAAGTAACGTTACCTACAAAAACAGACTTCACCATCAATAATGTCTTAAGTTATTTTTTTTTCTCCTTTCAAATTTAGAGGTACAGTGCAG